TACCAGGGCAGCTAATTGTTCATCATGACTGCAGGTAAGTAATTGTGTAAATTAGAACTTGTCTGACTCTTGCTTGACCACTTTTCTTCTTGTCCTGGCAGAATCCAAGATGGCCTTCATGTTAAGACAAAGTGCCCGATGCCTTCCCACAACCAGCAGACTTGGTGAGGATGAAGCTACAACCTGGATTTCTAATCTTTAGCTTTATAGATTTTATAATGTAGTACTGTATTGTATTAAGCAGATAGTATTGTTATCAATAAGAACAATACATCTGTGTTTATATCTGGTCTCCCCGGACCCCGCATTCGCTATATCCGCTCTCCCCATCCCCCGGACCCCGCATTCGCTATATCCGCTCTCCCCGGACCCCCGCATTCGCTATATCCGCTCTCCCCGGACCCCGCATTCGCTATATCCGCTCTCCCCGGACCCCGCATTCGCTATATCCGCTCTCCCCGGACCCCGCATTCGCTATATCCGCTCTCCCCGGACCCCGCATTCGCTATATCCGCTCTCCCCGGACCCCGCATTCGCTATATCCGCTCTCCCCGGACCCCGCATTCGCTATATCCGCTCTCCCCGGACCCCGCATTCGCTATATCCGCTCTCCCCGGACCCCGCATTCGCTATATCCGCTCTCCCCGGACCCCGCATTCGCTATATCCGCTCTCCCCGGACCCCGCATTCGCTATATCCGCTCTCCCCGGACCCCGCATTCGCTATATCCGCTCTCCCCGGACCCCGCATTCGCTATATCCGCTCCAAATCCCCGGACCCCGCATTCGCTATATCCGCTCTCCCCGGACCCCGCATTCGCTATATCCGCTCTCCCCGGACCCACCCCGCATTCGCTATATCCGCTCTCCCCGGACCCCGCATTCGCTATATCCGCTCTCCCCGGACCCCGCATTCGCTATATCCGCTCTCCCCGGACCCCGCATTCGCTATATCCGCTCTCTCCCCGGACCCCGCATTCGCTATATCCGCTCTCCCCGGACCCCGCATTCGCTATATCCGCTCTCGCCCGGACCCCGCATTCGCTATATCCGCTCTCCCCGGACCCCGCATTCGCTATATCCGCTCTCCCCGGACCCCGCATTCGCTATATCCGCTCTCCCCGGACCCCGCATTCGCTATATCCGCTCTCCCACAGAACATGGAAATACAATTATTTTAGTACATATAAACTGCTAAATACCTTTTCTCATCAGCAGTATATAGCAGTCTTGTGAATTCTATCAGTGTCCAGCAGAGCACTGGTTAAAGCTTGTAGGAGGAGTTTTCATTTTGCTCTACGAGGATGAAGAATCGCTGACCTCTGTCTGGACAGTGTTGATTGGCCCTGTGTTGATCACATGTACTCTCCCAAGAAAAAAAAACCTCTCTAGCAATACAGACCAAACTGTGCATGTGCAGAGTGACTCCACAGGATATGTCTTATGAGGAGATAAGAGGGGGACATTGGAAGAAGGGGGAGGATCAGAGAAGACAGGGTTACAATGTAGAGCAGGGGTCTCCAAACTTTTTGAACAAAGGCCCAGTTTACTGTCCTTCAGACTTTAGGGGGACCGAACTTTGGCTATTGGAAGTAGAAAAGGTCCTGATATCAGTGGGAACAGACAATGCCCCATCGTTGATGTCATTGGGAGGAATTGTCCCCCATTACTGTGAATCATTGATGTAATTGGGCGCGATCATTGATGTAATTGGGGCCTGTTGTGCCCCTTTATTGGTGTCAGTAGGGGAAATTATTTTCCATTGTTGGTATCCGTGGATGAAATCGTACCCCAAGGGCCGGCTAAAAGCAAGCAAAGGCCACAGTTTGGAGACCACTGATGTAGAGGATTAACCCCTTAGGTTCCACGGTGAGTATAACAAGCATGCTTTACTGCATATATAGATTGATTTTACTGTTGTGGGTTTAGGAACACTTTAAGTGTAGATGAGGATGCAAAAGCCAAAGCCCCCCCACATTCCTAATCCAGCTGAAAGCGATTCTGACCGGAAATCGGCCCTCTGCACAGTTCATTACCTTATTCTGATACCTGCTGAACATTGCATCTATCCCTTGTGTACTGTACTGACCCAACACAGGACTACTAAAACCAATATGAGACGTGATAACTAAGATCTGTTATTCACCATCACTTTTTTTTCTCTAGCAGTAATCAGGCCGATCAGCTGCTGCCCCCACCTCCAGGCACCAGGTAACTGTACTAATAGGATTTTCTGAACTCTTCTTGGCCTTTTGCTGATGTCAGTTTTTTTAAGCTGGGTTGTATAAGCTTCTTTTAATGCCAGGGATACAGATGGAATCCTTGTGTGACCTGGAAGAAGGGGGAGGATCAGAGAAGACAGGATCACAATGTAGAGCAGAGGTCTCCAAACTTTCTAAACAAAGGGCCAGTTTTACTGTCCTTCAGACTTTGGGGGGGCCCAACTTTGGCTATTGGGAGTAGAAAAGGTCCTGATGTCAGTGGGAAAAGACCATGCCCCATCTTTGGTGTTAGTGGGAGGAATAGTGCCCCAATGTTGGTGTCAGTGGAAGGAATTGTGCTCCATCATTGGTATCAGTGGGAGGAATAGTTCCCCATCATTGGTATCAGTGGAAGGAATAGTGCCCCATCATTGGTATCAGTGGGAGGAATTGTGCCCCATCATTGGTATCAGTGGGAGGAATAGTGCCCCATCATTGGTATCAGTGGGAGGAATTGTGCCCCATCATTGGTATCAGTGGGAGGAATTGTGCCCCATCATTGGTATCAGTGGGAGGAATAGTGTCCCATCATTGGTATCAGTGGAGGAATAGTGTCCCATCATTGGTATCAGTGGGAGGAATAGTGTCCCATCATTGGTATCAGTGGGAGGAATAGTGTCCCATCATTGGTATCAGAGGAGGAATAGTGTCCCATCATTGGTATCAGTGGGAGGAATAGTGCCCCATCATTGGTATCAGTGGGAGGAATAGTGCCCCATCATTGGTATCAGTGGGAGGAATAGTGTCCCATCATTGGTATCAGTGGAGGAATTGTGTCCCATCATTGGAATCAGTGGGAGGAATTGTGCCCCATCATTGGTATCAGTGGGAGGAATAGTGCCCCAATGTTGGTGTCAGTAAGAGGAATTGTGCCCTATCACTGGTGTCATTGGGAGGTTATTGTGACCAATCATTACTATCGTTGGGCCCCATCGTTGTTTTCATTGGGAGGAATTGTCCACCGTTACTGGAAATCTTCATATTGCTTGGAAACATCTTTGCAGGTCTTTCCCTCCCACTCTTGTTTGGAGTGGAAAGGCTGACCGGAGTTGGCCACATTGGGTACCAGGGAAAAAAAAACAAACAAACTAAAATGAACAACCCCCCCCCCCCCCCCCCAAAAAAAAAAAAAATAAACGGGCAGACTTGATGGACCACTCCTTATTTTTTGCCGTCTCTTTTCTATGTTTTTATTTTCCACTGCGATACTGGTTGTTGATTCTAGAAAAGTCCTGCAGTTGTTTGGGTAGGGGCTTACAAGCAACTATAAGATTTCTGTTTTACCTGGAAAGGAACATTGGTTACAAAAACAAAGTGGTACAGTGTTATACCAAAACCATGTTCTAGATTTCTGGCATAAATGCGGTCTATAGAACAGCTTTTTTCAACCAGGGTGCCTTGAGGTTTTTTCAGGGGTGCCTTGGCAAAATGTCTAAAAATTGCCCAAAACGTGTATACAAGCCAGTGGGTGGAACAAGCCTGCCTTTTAGTTACACAAAGCCATGGGTTTTCATTGTGCACCATTACGACCTTCTACCCGCCAGCACAAAATCACATCGTAAGTTTATAAGGAGGATGTCCGTTGCCTGCACAGCTTCCTTGTTTGACCCTTCGCTGCCGTCTCCGTCAGTCCTTGGGTCACATGAGCCCAGTAATGGAGAAAGAGGGAGAAGAAAAACAATGGAATACTAGTCAGTATCAGTGTGCAAAAGTGTATTTGCTTTGGAAGAATAAATTACTTCTAAGGTTGGGTATCCTACGTGTGTGGATGCTGCTGCATTATGTAAAACTATTAGAATAGTTTTTTTTATATTCTAGAATGGGGCACCTTGACATTGTCCATCAATTTTGAAATTGCACCTTGACATTGTCCATCCATTTGAAAGGGCGCCTTGACATTGTCCATACATTTGAAAGGGCGCCTTGACATTGTCCATCCATTTGAAGGGGCGCCTTGACATTGTCCATACATTTGAAAGGGCGCCTTGACATTGTCCATCCATTTGAAAGGGCGCCTTGACTTTGTCCATACATTTGAAGGGCGCCTTGACATTGTCCATCCATTTGAAAGGGCGCCTTGACATTGACATTGTCCATGTCCATCCATTTGAAAGGGCGCCTTGACATTGTCCATCCATTTGAAAGGGTGCCTTGACATTGTCCATACATTTGAAAGGGCGCCTTGACTTTGTCCATACATTTGAAGGGGCGCCTTGACATTGTCCATCCATTTGAAAGGGCGCCTTGACATTGTCCATCCATTTGAAAGGGCGCCTTGACATTGTCCATACATTTGAAAGGGCGCCTTGACATTGTCCATACATTTGAAAGGGCGCCTTGACATTGTCCATTCATTTGAAAGGGCGCCTTGACATTGTCCATACATTTGAAAGGGCGCCTTGACATTGTCCATTCATTTGAAAGGGCGCCTTGACTTTGTCCATACATTTGAAAGGGGCGCCTTGACATTGTCCATCCATTTGAAAGGGCGCCTTGACATTGTCCATCCATTTGAAAGGGCGCCTTGACATTGTCCATCCATTTGAAAGGGCGCCTTGACATTGTCCATCCATTTGAAAGGGTGCCTTGACATTGTCCATACATTTGAAAGGGCGCCTTGACTTTGTCCATACATTTGAAGGGGCGCCTTGACATTGTCCATCCATTTGAAAGGGCGCCTTGACATTGTCCATTCCATTTGAAAGGGCGCCTTGACTTTGTCCATCCATTTGAAAGGGCGCCTTGACTTTGTCCATACATTTGAAAGGGCGCCTTGACTTTGTCCATCCATTTGAAAGGGCGCCTTGACTTTGTCCATCCATTTGAAAGGGCGCCTTGACTTTGTCCATCCATTTGAAAGGGCGCCTTGACTTTGTCCATCCATTTGAAAGGGCGCCTTGACTTTGTCCATCCATTTGAAAGGGCGCCTTGACTTTGTCCATCCATTTGAAAGGGCGCCTTGACTTTGTCCATCCATTTGAAAGGGCGCCTTGACTTTGTCCATCCATTTGAAAGGGCGCCTTGACTTTGTCCATCCATTTGAAAGGGCGCCTTGACTTTGTCCATCCATTTGAAAGGGCGCCTTGACATTGTCCATCCATTTGAAAGGGCGCCTTGACATTGTCCATACATTTGAAAGGGTGCCTCCACTGAAGAGAGAGGTTGAGGAACACTGCTATAGAATGCCTTTCCATGTGGACTACTAGTGCCAGATCAATGACCAGATTCCTTTCACTAATGGTATTCACAGCCGTTGTGACTAAAGGATGTTTTAGCAAAACTGTGAAGCAGGGAACTGATTCTTCTGAGATGGAATGTTTTCTAATCTGTATGGCAAACTTCTCCAGTTGCCTAAGTGGGTTTGTGATGCCTTTGTCTGGAGTAGGGAGAGGCTATAACCAATGGACGTTGTTTTTCAACCTAAATAACTGTAAGGCCTCTGTTTTTTCTCTTACAGCCAGTAAACTCCCCAGCATATTCTAAGTGTTCATACACACATAGGCTTTTAGCACCGTTTTTTTGGCAGTGGGGTTTCTCAGGCTGGAAAAAAAAAAAAAAAAAAACTACCGCGTTTTGAAGAGGAGTTCTTCAGCTGTAAAATGATCTAACGCTACAAAACGCTGAAAAGCATGTCTGGCGTTTCTGAGCATATTTGAGCTTTTGTGGGAGTATAGTTTTGCTAAAAACGCAAACTCTGAAAGACGCTAATGCAAAAGGCTTAAAATAGCCACAAAACTGGCATTTTTATAACATTGAGTGTGCATGGGGCCTAACTCTGTGTAAGTAAGTAAATCTCCATGTTTTCATTCTAGCTGTCCAGGCAAAAACTAAGAAGACACTTGCAAAGCCAGGAGTAAAGAATGTTGTTGTGGTTGAAGGCGTTCGTACCCCGTTCCTGCTCTCCGGCACCACGTAAGTCCCCAATACCTTCAATTTCTGTCCTGTTCATTAAACAAATTCAGCTTCTGTCGCTGTGGCACAGTGACTAATGACACTGGCTGGGAAGGGGTTAACATGTAGGGGCAATCAAGGGGTTAATGTGTTTACTGTATGCTTTTTATTTTACTGGACATTGATTTGTTTTCCTTGCTTTGCAGGGAAAAGAAACAAAGCGATCGTTCTATAGAGTCTTGTGTCGTTTATCAACAGAGGGATTTAAGCTGTGATTCAACACTGCCGATCAGCAGGTCCTGGCCATGAGTCAATGGCCAGGATCTGTTGATGAACTACCGCTGTGTCAAATCACAGGGGAGTAAGTGGGCAGGGGCATACACACATGCCCAAAACTCAGAAACAGGCCGCTATGTACCAGTACAACGCTGTGCCTGTAGCTGCCGCCCTGCCGCAGTATATGTACTGTGGTGGGTTGGTAAGCGGTTAAAGTGGAGCTGAAGGCATTTTACAACAGGCAGGGGGTACAGGCATGGTATTCTCACAAGAGAGACAAGTCTCTTCTGCGATAAAATACACCTGCATGCCTGCTTGCAGTCTTCTGAAGCACGTAAACTGTGATGCGCGTTGCATTGCCAGCATGGCCCTTGTGTGCCGGGATGACACTCCTGTGCATGCACATCAGTTGTTATCCTGCACTGGCCAAAGGCCTGAAGACTGCCAACTGGGAGAGATACTGGCACTGGTGAGGGACCTCTGACCATTAGAGATGAGATAAGTAAAGTGCCTTTAGTTCCACTTTAACATTTGTCAGCATGATGCTCTACATCCTCATATTGATAGCTACCCTCTGACACATTTACCTGTCACACACGTCTTCACTGTTGACAATTTTGCCCCCCCCCCACTAATGATCAGGAACATTTCAAAGTCATGTATGTTAATTATGACATAATGATCACAGGCAAGCTGCTAGCTTCATTCACAAAAAAATAATTTTAACTTTCTAGGAGCCACTGCAGCCTAGTTTGCCAGTGTGCCTCTATTTAATATTGTAACTGTTTGGATGCAATTATAGTATTAAAAAAAATAATTTTTCGATTCCAAAACAATACTGTATTTTGTTTGTCGTTTTTTTTTTTTTTTGTTTTTTTTTTTTGTAACCTTTTATAAAAGACAGCCAGGTTATTAAAAGTGCATCAAATTAAATCCTTGTCATTATTTTTTTAAAAATGTAAAAAAAATGAGGTGGTCAAATTTAGTCATATTTAGGTTAATCACTGAATAATGCTGCTGCTAAATGTGGCCTGGTCATGTAGTCTTCAGTGACCTCTGTGCAGTACAGTCATGTGCGTTTTATTTTCTTGTTTTTTGTGTTTTTTTGTTTTTTTTTTCTGCCCCACCTCTACAATTATAGAATATTCAATATTCTAGATTATTGTTGTCCTGAGGTAATTCATTTCTTACTGCATAGCCAAAGTACATACTAAATTTATGTCATACAGCTGGGGGAATGGACCCTTTAGTTTCCAGAACCTACAGTAGATACCAACAGTAGATACCAAGATGTGGCATATGTAGTGTGATTCATTGTTTCTTGCCTTTTAGATTTGTAGATCTGATGCCCCATGACCTTGCCAGGACAGCATTACAGTAAGTTTCTGCTAATCCTTCTGTGCATAAAATGTGTTTTTTTGCAGCCTGAATGTCAGACCTGCTCACCCAAGTTTCACACAGTGCATAAAGCGGCACCTCTTTTGGCCACTGAAATTCCCTCACATCACATTGAGGGTGCCCAGGCCAAGCTATACATTCAAACTGCAGCAAATTCAAACATTTTCATGGATGTAGAGGTTTTCCAGGCATACCAAAGAAGCTTTGGGTTGGTTATAGGTAGTTATATTACCTTCTCTGATGTGCTTTTCCTTTAAATGAAATGGGTTCAAAAAGTGGAACACTGGGCAAGCTAAATAATTGGTTTAAATACACCTGCTAAAGGTTTTACCTGTTTAAAGGATTTGATATACACACCTCTGCTAGTTGGTAACATCACTCTGAGATTGTTTGTTTGTTTGATTCACTGCTTCTTGGGTCAGCCTTACTGCACCTTGAACAGACATGATGATGAGCATTCATTCCACAGTAAGGATGTGGACCTTAGCTGTCTGATGATCAACTTCTGTTGAACAGGACTGTTGGAAAACATTCATTCAATCAGCTGTTGCAGTGCTGATCAGTGTATTCTGACAGTGGAGGAATCCCCGCTGTCAGAATACAATAATATAGTGGGGGAGGATTTCTCAATCCACCTCACTTGTGTAGATGGGGAAATCCTTTCCTTTTTTTTTTTTTTTTTTTTTTTTTTTTTTTTTAATTTTTCGATCCGCTGATTAACCACTTGCCAACCACGCTATAGCTGAATGACTGCTACAGGGCGGTTGTCCAATTATGGGAGGGCGTCATATGAAGTCTGGATCACAAAGTTAGCCATCAGGATTCATATCTCAGCACTCTGCAGTAAACGCCAGTACAGATTGATAGACTGACCATAACCCATGATCTCATAGCTGGCCCTCAAGGCTTAAATCAGTGGTCCAAGACCGCTCACAGTCAAAGCAATCCGGTGATGAGGCACAGCATATAAACCACATAGAGGATGGAGAAACACCCATAGTGTAATATTAAAAGCATCCTTAATTAAAAAAAAAAAATGGGTATCTACTCACATTTAGATCATAAGAAACTGCATATCACAAACCGCACATCAAACACCCCAGCAGGCGTGATGACGCCACCATTGTAGCCATCCTACGTGTTTTGTCCGACCAGTATTGGACTGACCGGTGTGAAAATTTACAGTTTTCAGAAAAATTACATTCACAAATTGTTTTGTGGGTAAATCAGTAAGTACGCTCTGTGTGTCAATTTGTTTGCGTCGTCCTGAAAATTTTTAAAGTAGAAATGCCCACCCCATATTTTTTTTTTTTTTTTTTTTTTTTTTTTAAGATATGAGCAGGTACCACAGTCCTCAAAATAAAGCGACCATTGAATAAAATAAAGCACATCATTTTCTCTACTTTTAATCTCTCTGCTTCTCTGCATTCAATCAGGGGTTTGCTGAATCGGACAGGTATTCCTAGGGAGGCTGTTGACCACATTGTGTATGGCACCGTCATCCAGGAAGTGAAAACTAGCAATGTTGCCCGTGAGGTTGGTTTTTTTTGTTTTTTTTTTTGTTTTTTTTTTTTTTGTTTTTTTTTTTAATCCTTTCTAAGTGTCTTTTCATGATATCTTCGTAGAATGTAAGTACATCACTTATGGTTTATGATAGGGTGGCTGTTGTAGCTACTTTTCTAATTATGGAGCTGACAGATGGACAGTTAGGTAATTGACACCTATTGAAAAAGGTAAGCAGAGTGCTTCCATTTTGCTTCAGGAAGATAAAGAGTTTTTTTCCTAATTTATAAACGTGTAAGACACCATCAATGGGCAGTGAAAAGAAAGCAATGAAATTCAGTGTCTGGCTGTTGAGGTTGTAAATTCTAAACCTTATGTTTTGTGTTTTTCTGTGCCCAGGCTGCTCTTGGAGCCGGTTTCTCTGATAAGACTCCCGCTCACACCGTCACCATGGCATGCATCTCCTCCAACCAGGCCATGACCACAGGTTTGTATTCTGTCAGCAGATTCCTTCATCCCCCCTTCACCGGGACTTTGTATTCTAACAGCAGGGCCTGCAGTTGTCAGAATACACTGATCAGTGGCTGGTGATCGAGAAAACTGTTTTTCTTTCAAGTCCTTTCCACAGAAATCAAATGAAAGGATCGATCGACTGCTGTCGGACAACCACACAATGATCGAAATTTGACTGGTTCAGCAGGGATCTGCCAAATTTCAATCAGTGTACGGCCAGATTAAGCCATGAAGTCAGAGAAACAAAGCACTGTCTAAGAAAAACTAAATCAGAGAACAGCTCTGGCTGAAAAGGGTACAAGCGGGTTCCTGCTTAGGCAGAGCTTTTACTTTTTTTAACCCTTTGAGGACCAAGGGATGTATTTGTCCCATGTTTTTAATTGCGTGTATCATCTGATTAGGAACTTTAAAACTTTTTTTTTTTGGTTTGAGTCAAACTATTAGTTCTTATCAACAAACAACAAATGGATCTAGCTTTTTGCCAATTATTTCATGAAATGGCTTAGTTACAGCAACTGAAGTGCACGAACTTTAAAAAGAAAAAAAATTGATTCTTTTGGCGTTCCAAAATTTTAACGGTCCTCAAAGGGTTAACCACTTCAGTCTGGACACTTTTACCCCCTTCCTGCGCAGGCCAATTTTCAGCTTTCAGTGATATCACACTTTGAATGACAATTGCGCGGTCATGCAACACTGTACCCATATGAATTTTTTTGCATTTTTTTGAGACAGATAAAGCTTTTATTTTGGTGGTATCCTTTCTCCCCCCCCCCCCCCCCCCCCCCTTACCTCGACCTAACCTGACTATCGCGTGCCCCAAGTCTTCACTTATTGGGTTGTGCCTGCACATGACAGCCAAGTAGACCATCTCAGATCGTCCCCAGCCTTGGCACACAGCCTCATAAAACTCTATGGGGCAGCAAGGCACAGGCAGGAGATTAAAGATTTGCCTGCGTTAGATGTAAGCAAACAGTGGATGGAGGTAAGTATGCATCTGTGGAAGTGGAGACTGTAGGTCACTGTAAGGCCCTTCTCACATGGAGTGGAATCCACTTTGCTCAGCAGGGGATCTGTCCACTGATCCACTGCTGAGCAGAGTGCACGGATGACAAGTCTGTGTCGCAGAGCAGACATGAACACAGCCCGCTTTGCTATGTGGGTGGTTGGGTACGCCCAACTGCCCCCAGATCCGATTTCCTTCCCCCCCCCCCAGTCGAAGGGGAATGGACCTCTTCTTTTTTTTTTTTTTTTTTTTTTTTTTTTTTTTTTTTTTCTTCCCCTCATTATTATTATTATTATAATACAGGATTTATATAACTCTAACAGTTTGCACAGCGCTTTACAAAAAGAAGGTAGACATTACAGTTGCAATACAATTTGGTACAAGAGGAAACAGAGGGCCCTGAGAGCTTACAATCTAGGACTTAAATGAGTCGTTTCGGATTGGAGGTAGTAGGGTGCAAGTCAGTTTACACCCGCCGGTCCATAGGAATGTGTGGACCTGATCGGATCCTCCATGTAAAAGGGGCCTAAGGGTCAAAAAGGATAAATTCACTTCACTGCACTTGTCCTTTTTAAAAGTTTTCTCCTGAAAAATTCTGAAAAACTGTCAATTTAGCTGTTATCTCTCATAGCTGAGTCCTGGAAATGGCCTTATGTGTGACAAGGGTAATGGGGGTGCTAGATTTCAGAAAGCCCACCAGGCTTTCCTGCTCCCTGGTGTGCTTCAATGAGATTCTGGGAGTCATCCTGACACAGGGGTTTATTTACTAAAGCTGTAGAGTCCAAAATCAGACTCCCTTCTGCATAGAAACCAATCAGCTTCCAGGTTTCATTGCCAAAGCTTCATTGAACAAGCTGAGGTTAGAAGCTGATTGGTTTCTATGCAGAAGGGAGTCTGATTTTGGACTCTCCAGCTTTAGTAAATAAACCCCATAGGGGTTGAGGCAAATAGACTGTACACTCTGCAAGTGCAGTTGCACTCATTTTCCCCAGAGCTTAGTAAATGTGGTAAAACTCTGCTGATTTCTATCATCCAATCATGTGCAAGCAAATGTTTTTTGTTTGTGTTTTTTTCCTTGTGCCTGATTGGTTACTCTTTACAAAGTGAATCTTTACCTCATTTATTATTTATTTCAGGTACTCATATAGTGCCGTCAATTTACGCAGCGCTGTACATATATATTGTACACTCACATCAGTCCCTAACCCTCAAGGGGCGTACAATCTAAGGTCCCTAACTCACATTCATGTACAATTTAGACAGGATCCAATTAACCTACCAGCATGTCTTTGGAGTGTGCGAGGAAACTGGAGTACCCAGAGGAAACCCACGCAGGCACAGGGAGAACATGCAAACTCCAGGCAGGAGGTGCCGTGGCTGGGATTCGAATCAACGATCCGAGTACTGCCAGGCGGAAGTGCTAACCATTTAGCCACTGTGCTGCCCATTTACTCCAGAAAATGAGTACAACTGTATTTGCAGAGTGCACAGTCTATTTGCCTTTTAGTTAATCCACACCATAGAGGGGACAGAGACTAAATTTGAGTTGGGAAACCAAATATGTAATATTGAAATATGAGAGCTTCTAGATTGCATTGTGTTTGCTGGGATTTAAACTTCTTTATTGCCATGTATGTACAGTTTTTGTTTAATGGAGAGCACTACTATAGAGGATTGGTACCTGTCACACAGGCAAATGACCGCCTTACCCACTTCTGAATTTACTAATATGGTGTCTGTTGAGATTCTGCCTCCTTCAACCTGTTCTGCATATTGCAGCTTCCTTTGGGGTTTCACATTGTGTGCATCAGATGCTTACTCTGTCCCTTCACTCTGCAGTCACATTTGCTTTGGTGTGATTGGAAGTCTCTCTTTGACAAATGTTCCCAATCCCAGAGCAAACTTGGTGAGATGTGTTTGAAAATTGCAGACACTGCGCTAGACCTCTTCCCTACAATGATGTTGTTCAGCTAAAGCTGGGGTGAAGACAATCAGTGGTCGCTATATGTGGATATCCCCTTCCTCGAGGAGAGGCTGACTTGACAATAATGGTTCTCGTATGTCTGCTCACAGTCTTTCTCCTAATCCACAGGGGTCGGGCTGATTGCATCGGGTCAATGCGATGTGGTGGTGGCCGGTGGTGTGGAGTTCATGTCTGATGTCCCAATTCGTCATAGCAGGAAAATGAGGAAGGCAATGTTAAATCTTAACAAAGCCAAGACCATAGCCCAGAAGCTTTCTCTGGTATCCAGAATCCGTCCTGACTACTTTGCCCCAGAGGTAAGGTGATGGAACCCCTTGAATTTTAATTAAAAAAAAATTGGACAAGGGAATTTTCTGTTTTCCAACACAACCTGCCCAGTTATGGGTAACGTTCTGCTACTGCGTGATGGGAAATATGGACACCTTACACAATTTTTAGGAAGCAGCCCAGTATCATGGTCCTGGCTAGGTGTTTGTGATTTTGTTTTCTCACAAGTTGGTCTTGAAGAAAAGATTGTCATGTTCCCTTCTTAAGGGGTCCTAACTTAACTACAAAATGTGGGGGAACACAGAGAACACGAGAATCTTCCTTTTTTTTTTTTTTTTACACCCAAGCATAGTGGTGTTAATGAGCCCTTACACTCTTATTTGACAACCAAACCCCAAGTTCTGCTGCTGTATGGGAGCCCTAACTAAATACCCAGGGCTTAAGGTATGGGGTGGGGGCATCAGAAATGTTTCCTATTGTGCATTGCACAGGCCTGGACACTGTTGCATCAGGGATTGATGTCTTTAGTCCCGTGTAAGATTCAACATCCAACACAAAGCTTACATTATTATTATTATTACAGGATTTATATAGCTGTTGCATCAGGGATTGATGTCTTTAGTCCCATGTAAGATTCAACATCCAACACGAAGCTTACATTATTATTATACAGGATTTATATAGCGCCAACAGTTTACGCAGCGCTTTGCAACATAAGGGCAGATAGTACAAATACAATACTGGAGGATTCAGAGGGCCCTGCTCATTAGAGCTTTCAATCTAAGAGGGAGGGTTGAGAGATACAAAAAGTAATAACTGTGGGGGATGGGCTGATGGACAAAATACATGTACAGCTGTTCTGGCAGAATAGGCCTCTCTGAAGAGATGAGTTTTCAGGGATCGTCTAAAAGTGGACAGAGATGGAGATAGTCAGACACATTGAGAAAGGGAGTTCCAGAGGATGGGAGCGGCTCTGGAGAAATCGGTGAGCGTGGGAGGAGGTGAAAAGGGAGATAGAGAGCAGGAGGTCTTGTGAGGAACGAAGAGAACGGTTTGATTGGTATTTTGAGACCAGGTTAGTGATGTAACTAGGGGCTAAGTAGTGGATGACTTTATAAGTAGTAAGTTTCTTGAATTTTATTCATTGGGTGAGTGGGAGCCAGTGGAGGGACTGGCAAAGTGGGGTGGCAGACATTGAATGATTGGTAAGGTGGATGAGTCTGGCAGCAGCATTCATGACGGACTGGAGGGGGAATAGGCTATGCAAAGGTAAGCCACTGACAAGGGAGTTACAGTAGTCAAAGCGGGAGATGACCAGGGAGTGAGTTAGAAGCTTTGTGGTGTCAAGGGGAGTATCTTGGAGATGTTGCAGAGGTTGAGGCGGCAAATTTTGGATAGTTCAGAGTCCATGATTACACCTAGCACCCTGGCATGTGGGGACGGGTTGATGGTTGAGCCGTTGATTTGGACAGTGAAGTCAATGGAAGGGGCACGTAGGGGAGGAAAGATTATGAGCTTGGTTTTGGATAGATTGATTTTCAGGAAGTGATGTGACACCTAGGCTGATATGTCTGTTAGTAGAGTGATGCGTGAGGAGACTGATGGAGTGAGCTGAAGGGTGTAGAGAGAGAGAGATTTGAGTGTCATCCGCATTGAAATGGTATTGAAAGCCATGGGAGGCAATCAATTTACCCAGAGAAAAGGTGTAGTTTGAGAATAGAACAGAACCTTGGGAACCCCAACGGTGAAAGGACGAGGAGAAGAGGAAGTAGAATTGTAAGTGACACTGAATGTGCGGTGGAATAGGTAGGATGAGAACCAATGAAGGGCACAGAGACCAAAGGAGTAGAATTTTTTTGAGGAGGAGGGAGTGGTCCACTGTGTCAAAGGCAGCAGGGAGGTCCAGGAGTAGGAGTACAGAATAGTGTCCATTGGTTTTAGCCATTAGTAGATCGTTCTTAAGTTTGAGGAGAGCGCTTTCTGTGGAGTGCTGAGAGAAATCCAAACTGAAGGGGATCAAGAAGGTTATTCTCATTGAGGTGGTTGCTCAGCTGGTTGTAGACTAGACGTTCAAGAAGTTTGGAGGAAAAGGGGAGTAAGGAGATGGGTCATAGGTTGTCAAGATTGGTGGGATCTAGTGAGGGCTTTTTAAGTATGGGGGTGACTAGTGCATGTTTTAGAGAATTTGGGAAGATGCCAGAAGAGAGGGAGAGATTGAAGATGTGAGTTAGAGAGTGTAGGATAGAGCCAGAGGGTGACCGTAGCATTTGCTATGGAGCAGGGTCCAGGGGGCATGTGGTTAGGTGGGCATTAGAAAAAGGTTTACCAACCTCGTCTATAGTAGTGGGCTTGAATGCGGGAAGTAGTGATTGTCCCTGTAGATGTGGAGTGTTAACTAGGGGAGGTATCTGCGCATCAAAGATCTCCTCGCGAATTGTTTCGATTTTCTTTTTGAAATGATTAGCTATCTCCTGGGCAGTGAGTGAGTTAGTGCATGGAGGATGAAGAAGAGAGTGGAAGGTAGCGAAGAGTTGATGTGGATTGGATGAAAAGGTGTTAATGAGAGTAATGAAATAGGTCTGCTTGGCAGTGTGGAGGCAGGAATAGTATTTCTGGAGGTAAGATTTATATTAGTTGAAGTCTTTCTGGGACTTAGTCTTACGCCACAGACTCAAGAGCGTGGCTATGTTTTTGAGACCTCTGGTGTCATCTGTGTGCCAAGGTTGTAGGGGTCGGGGCCTGACTGTGTATGTAGTAAGGGGAGCTAGTTTGTCTAGGGAGGATGACGGTGAACTGTTGTAGACAGAAGTGGGTAGATCTGGGCAGGACAGGGATGATATTTTGTCATATAGGTGGTCAGTAGCAGAGTAGAGAAGGGTCAAGGTGGCGAAGGTTTCTGTGAGTAACTGTTGGGTGGTTGGTGGGAGACGGAGAGAGTGAAGCTAATCAGGTGGTGATCAGAAAGCGGGAAAGGGTTGTTGGAGAGGTTGCACGGAGTGCATAGATAGAATACAAGGTCAAGGGTGTTGCCATTGGAGTGAGTAGAAGCGTGCATCCATTGCTTTAGGCCAAAAGAGGAGGCTAGATTAAAAAGTTTAGAAGAAGCAGGAGTATAAGCATTAAAAGGGATGTTGAAGTCGCCGAGAAATCATTGTGGAGATTTCAGAATAGAGAAAGAAGGGTAATCCGGCAGAGAAGTCAACGAAAGTAGATACCAGTCCAGGGGTCCGGTAGATCACAGCAATTCTTAGAGAAACAGGAGAGAACAGACATATACAATGTGCCTCAAAGGAGGAGAGTATCAGTGAGGGAGGTAGGTGAAGTACCTGATAGGTGCTCTGTGGGGGCAAGGAGGATTCCTACTCCACCTCCCTTCCATCTACTGGATCTGAAGGAGTGGGTCCAGAGAAGGCCACCGTGGGAAAGGGAAGCAGTGTCAGAATCGTGAAGGCAGGTTTCAGTAATGGCGAGTCAGTTAAAGGAATTTGTGATAAAGAGGTCGTGGGAGGGGGTGAGTTTGATACAGACAGAGCAGGCAGAGGGCATATGAAAAGTGGAGGGCTGGCTTTGGCAAAAAAAAGGAATGGAGACTAAGTTCTGCTGCCAGAGGGTGCAGGGTGATGGGAGCGTTGGGCACACTTAATTGATGAGGCCCAGGGTTTGGGGATATATCTCCAGAGATTAGGAGAAGCAGAAGGGTGAGGGAGGTAATATGGGAGTGCGATTTTATATGAGTGGACATGCCTCGGCATCCTGGAGGCTTTTATGAGCATTTAGTGTCCCCCGATGGCGCTCCTGGCTCCTTCCCCTTGACCAGTGCCCCCCAATAGCAAGCCGCTTGCTATGAGGGGACTGGTGCATGCTCTATGCATCCTATAAGACACATACAGCTGCAGCTCGGGCCCCATCCCTGCTCTCTCTCCTCATTGGCTCACTGGCTTTGATTGACAGGAGTGAGAGCCAATGGCTCCTGCTGCTTTCTTAGCCAATTAGGAGAGAGAAGCCCAGGACAGCTGAGGCTCCTGTGTACATTGCTGGATCAAGAGGGGGCTGTGCGGGGAGCAGCACACAGAAGGTTTTTTACCTTCATACATAGAATGCATGAATGTAAAAAAGTCTTCAGGCTTTACAACCACTTTAATTAAGATGACAAATTTTTTTTTTTCTTTGAGAGGAAATATCTGGACTGATGATTTATGTTTTTCATGAAACTCTTCTCTTTAATTTAGCTTCCAGCCGTGGCAGAGTTCTCTACCAGTGAGACAATGGGGCACTCGGCAGACAGACTGGCCTGCAGCCTTCGCCGTGTCCCGTGTGGAACAGGACGAGTACGCTCTGCGCTCACATACCCTGGCCAAGAAAGCCCAGGAAGCTGGAAATCTCTCAGATGTCATCCTTACAAAGTGCCAGGTGATTGTTGCTGGCTCTCGAACCTATAGATTTTGTTTTGCAGTCAGTTCCATAATGGATGTTTTCTTTTAACCCTTTAACTTCCCCCAACATATGTAGTAAATCTGTGGCAGCTGGGGGGTTGCTGCCAGGAGTGTGTAAATCTGACAAGTTGGCTGTCAGGTGGGAGTGGTCCAGCAGTTGTCCAGTCACCAGATCGCTTCCACACACCCTGGTAAGTGCCAGATCTGCACTCTTAGTTTCATTTGAAGGACAGGTAAAACATCGGGGGTTTTTTACACCCCTGATGTCTCATTAAAGAGAACCTGACGCCAGAAAATGCAACACATAGGCCACTTTTGGAAAAGAAACATTTAATGATAAAAATTGTAAAAACAATGAGTTACACCCAAGCATTTTAAAATCCTCCAAAAAAATGTTTTCAGCACCACCTCTACTACACATATGTACAAATGTAAATACGGGCATCGGGTGCCTCTGTGCTACACCACTTTACTAAAGAGTACCAAAATTCAAAAAAAGAGAGGGATAAGTTACCTAATATTCAAAAAAAATTTTTGGCAAGAAATGAATAAAAAAAAATTATACAAATTGTATTAAATATAACCAATATAAAAAGCTCATATAGCCATGTATCATATACACACAAAAATCCCCATAAAAACATATAAGCAATTTTTGGTATAGAATTTAGACATCATATTTCATAGAGCATCAAACTTTGTATTGAACCAAAACCCCAACGTGTTTCGACTTGTACATAGCATATGTCTTCCTCAGGGGGCTGTTCTCTCTGATGATCTCTGTAATAAATATACATAATACTAATAAATCAGAAAAAGAGAGGGGAAAAAAATGCTGATTTATTAGTGTTATGTGCATTTATTGCAGAGATCGAAAGGCGTCGGGGCTTTGATTCGATTCAAATTTCGATGCTTTCTTAAATATGATGTCTACATTCCATATCATATAATGGTTACATGTTTTATGGTGATTTTTGTATGTTAATGCTGCATGGCTATATGAGCTTTTTATCTTTTGTTATATTTAATACAGTTTGTATAAGTTTATGTATTTCTTGCTAAACATTTCCTTTGATTATTAGGTACCATACAGTTCCTTATCCTGCCCCTTCTTTTTTGTTTTTTCAAATTTTGATACTCTTTGTATTATGGGATGTGGACCTATTCAATGTAATGTAGGTATAGGAAAATGCTAGATATTACACCACCCTACCTCCACCATTTAACTGCCAGTATGTAGTATTTGGCATATATACAGAAAGATTTTCCAGTAATCCAAGCTTTCAACTAAACTTTCTTTGAAGAGGGAAGGGAGTTGGAGAAGAGCGCAAGAGGGCATCCACTAAACAGGGATGAGGTTTTGGGTTGTAGCAATTAAGATGAGGATTTTGAGCTCTGTGAAAACTGGTTGTCCAATATTGACCAGGTGGCTTGTGGGACATCCACAGACCTCTCACAAGCCACCTGGTCGATATTGTGGACAACCAGTTTTCACAGAGCTCAAAATCCTCTTAATTGCTACAATTAATAGGGGATCATGGGGCCCCTGTGTCCTAACCCACACTCAAACCACACCCAAAAAAGCCTATGGAAGGTACCAAGGGGCCCCCTACAGACCCAGGGCCCTCGAGCTTTGCCCGAGTGCCCGAATGATCAGTCCGCCCCATGTACCCTTTGAAGAGCCATTCATACATGAATGTTACCAGATTGTGAAGTTGGCGCCCAAGTCTATAGAGCACTGTCATTTCTATTTGTCTTTGGGCATCCTTGGATACGAGATGCACAAGGTAAGATCCAGCCAGGTGAAATCGATGTACTAATGCAAATGTCTATAGAGCAGGCTTGTTAAATTCGAATGAAATGGTGGGCCAAATTGTGAGGCATTGGGGCATTTATTAAAACTGGAGAGTACAAAATCTGGTGCAGCTGTGTGCATGGCAACCAATCAGCTTCTAAGGCTGGCCATACATTGAACAACAATTGTACAAGAAAATGGTATAGATTTATCAAAATCATATAAAATGAGGTCAAACCTAAATGCCTTCAATTTGTATGCAATCAGGAAGGTCCTTACACTACGTAGTGGAAGGTAAATCTAAAGGAAATTGAATATGAAAATTGTATAATGTATGGCCAGCTTAACTCCAGCTTTAACAAACCTGAAAGGTGATTGGTTTATTTGCAGAGCTGTTCCAGATTTTGCACTCTTGAGTTGCCCAGTCTTTCTCAAGCAGGGTGCCTTGAGATTTCTTCAGGGGTGCCTTGGAAAAATGTCTAAAAATTGCCCAAAACTTGTATGCAAGCCAGCAGGTGGAACAAGCCTGCCTTTTAGTTACACAAAGCCACAGGTTTTCATTGTGCACCATTACGACTTTCTAGCCGCCGGTGTCCTGACAACCATCGACCTCATCAGTTGATAAGGAGGATGTCAGCTGTGACATGTTTGGTATCCATTTTACTTGGCGTAACAGCATCTCTTATATTTTACAAAAAAATTGGGTTATGTATATTTTTTTTTTGTGATAAAATTCAAAAAGTGTAATTTTTCCCAAAAATTCCTTTTGAAAAAACCGTGCAACATAAACAAAGTAAAAAAAAAAAACCAAAAAAGCCAATTTATTCTCTAGGGCCTCTGCTTTTAAAAATGATATAATATTTGAGGGTTCTAAGACATTTTCTAGCAAAAAATATTGTTTTTAAAATGTAAACAAAAAGTGCCAGAAATGGCCTGGAGCTAAAGAGGGAAAATTCTTAAAACACTGAACCTCAGAGAAAGCAGCGAGAGTGTGCATGTAGATTGACAGAAACAATTGAGTACTGTCCGTGATACTTTTTTTATTTGCACTAACATACAATAATAAAATAAAAAAAGTATCACGGACAGTACTCAATTGTTTCTGTCGCAAATGCACTAATACGGCTACAAGCACCTCAAGCAACATGTGGATTGAAAAATGTTTGATATGCATCATATAGAGCTTTATAGTACCCAATATGGAGAACCACCAATCAGTACTTTCCTTCCTCTCGTTGCAGGCAAAGATACAGTGGACAAAGACAATGGAATCCGGCCCAGCTCTATGGAGCAAATGGCAAAGCTGAAACCAGCTTTCATCAAACCATTTGGGACAGTGACTGCTGCCAACTCCTCTTTCCTGGTAAACACTTCTAGAACATGTATATGCTGTGTTTTACTTTGGAGACGTGCTGTATTGTATCTTTCTGCTGTGCAGAGAGATACAAAGCAGCATGTCCATGCTGACAGGAGAGAGACACGTGTTTGTTTACACACAGGTCTCTCCCCTGTCAGCATTGTCAACGATCAGTCCTGGCCAGGAATCGTCGGCCAGGACCCGGTGATTGACATTCCCAGCAGCCAATAGTGGCACAGGTAGGGCGGCGTGTGTGCCCCCTACCTGGAAATGCAAATCGTGTGTATATATGTGATTTTGTGCAGCCATGCCGCCCTGTAGCAGTATATCTGCTATAGGGCGAGCGGGCGGGCAAGCGGTTAAGGAGATTTCATGGCTATGTGCTTGATTTTATTCACCTGGTTTTAGAGTAGCATATCCAGCAAGCGCCTATTGGTGTGATGGTAGGCTGTCTATCTGTTTTTGGCCATATAAAAAAAAGATGCAATGTTGTGGAGGGTTTTACATCCTATAATGGATGTTTTCGTTGTCTTTTTTTTCTTTGCAGACGGATGGGGCCTCGGCTGTCTTGCTCATGTCTGAGGAGAAAGCGCTGGCCATGGGATACAAGCCTAAAGCCTATCTACGGTAAGTAAATCTGGCTGATCTACACCTGCCAAACCCAGAGCTCCAGAGAAAAAGCCCTCTACTTGGGATCTGTTAGTTGCACCTTACTACTGTGCACAACAGGCAGCATAGAGGGAGTTTAGCTTTGTGGGGGGAGAAAGCGGGGTGCAGTGATCTGCAGATTTCTGATGTTACTTTTATATAAGACTGGCTGCTTTTTGGCAGCTTATCTGCATTAACCACTTCAACACAGGGCACTTTTACCCCCTTCATGCCCAGGCCAATTTTCTGCTTTCAGCGCTGTCGCACTTTGAATTAAAATTGAGCAGTCCTGCAACACTGTACCCATAAAAAAATTATCATTTTTTTCACACAAATAGAGGTTTTTTTTTTTTTTTTTGGTGGTATTTAATCACCGCTGAATTTTTTTTTTTTTTTTTTTTTTTTTAATTTCTAAAAAAAAAAACTTTTGAAAAAAAATTCTGCTATTTTTCTTTGGTGAAAATACCCCAAATTAATGTATATTATTATTTAGTCTGTAGGAAAGTTCTAGATTCCGCAAACCATGGTATATAGAAGTGACAATCAATCAGTCCTGATGTACTGACGGCCAATCTCATTTCTTGAGGCCCAAAAACGCTAGGATAGTAATCCCCCTTCCCCCCAAATGACTCATTTTTAAAAAAAAAAAAAAAAAAGATAGTCCAAGGTTTTTAGCAAGAGGCATGGCACGTTTTTTTGATGTTGTAATTTTTGGGAAAATTAAGAAATTAAAAAAAAATAAATAAAAATATTACTTTTTTTTTTTTTTTTACATATTGTCACCAGTCCAGTACCACATTGTCATATAACTTGGCAGTGATCAGGGACACTGGTGACAGTACAAAAAAAAAGTTTTTATTTTTTCAATTATTTTTCCTTTTTTTTTTTTTTTTTTTTTTTTTCAACACACTGTGGCCAGAGCAATATGATGTTACCATAGTAACGTTGCACTACTCTTGGCAAGGAGGCCATGTGACCGCCGTGAAGTCGTGGCAAGGCGGTCACATGACACTAAACCCCGCCTCGCCCCCCGGCCTCTGAAACCCTTAAAGGGCCGGGAGGCGCCAAGGTGTTAAACATGCTCCAATAGCCCTTCTGACATTTCCAGCTAGGCAGACACAGTTGATCAGCATTGGCAGTGAAGAACTGGCAAAAGTGTAGAATTCAAATCGCTTTGCCCACACTAAAGATGGCCGTGGAATGCCGCATCAGCGTGCGTTCCACACACCGGATATGACTTCACACGTTCAAGGTTGGAACCGGAAGTTGCATCAATGCATTCCGTCCTCCCACAAGGCGTCGTCACGGACAAGACCTGCTCATCACTGGATCGTGATTGGGGTCAGGAAAGTATTGAAGGGGCTGGGAGCACACAAAAGGTTTTTTTTACCTTCATGCATAGAATGGAAAAAAAAACCTTGAGTCTTTAAAACCACTTGAGGTGGAATTCTACCTGAACAACATGGGAGAAGTCAAGGATCATTGGGCACAGAGTCACCCAGTGTTGCCTCCTTACACCTGATTTAAACCTCTAGCCATACTACTGTGCCGCAGTCATGTGCATTGCACGCCAATCATGGGTTTAAATCAAGTTGTGAGTTGGCAACATATCGCCTCCTCGCCGCTTGTCAAACACACTGGAGCAGCAGTGCCTGCTATACTTGTGAATGAACCCTTAGTTGCATTCTGCAACGGCACCCATAGTGCTCTTTCACACGTTAAGTTGGGAGGTGGTAAATCCTTGCTGTTAATTTGGGGTTTTACCGCCCTCAACCCTACCCCCTTTAGCTGCTAAGGCATCAGCCAAAGGTGTACACATTCCACAGCAGGAATTAAACCCCCTTTTGCTTTTGATAGGTGCCAGTCGTGACCCATTCAAGTATATGAGGCCACTCTGGAAGCGCCCTGCAACTGCATGCTTATGGGGGGTCCAAGGGGTTAAAGCAGATGGTGAGAGTGACATAATGCTGCCTGCTTTAACCCATTGTTTGATGTACTGTGCAAGGTGGCCTCCTTTTCTTGAATGGATCATGCTTGGCAATTTCTACGCCCACCAACCATGACAGGGAGTTTAACTTCTGCTGCGGCCTGGCCACTGCAGCTAAAGGGAGTGCAGTAGGGGCGGGGTGGTAAAAACACATCTTAACTATGGTGTTTTAACACTCCACCAAACTGCAAATATAAATTAACCCTTAAGCTCCCTATAAGACTGCTTTCACACTGATGTGCTGCGGTTTACCCATCTGCAGAGCTGCGACTTACCTGGGTTAGCTGTGCTTTGTCAAAGATTTCTATTATAGCCTGCAGCTGTAGTGTATTTTCTGAAAGTGCACCAATTCTCCTGCATTCAGATAGTGCACCAAATCCGCAGGATATAATAGAAGTCTGTAGCTAGGCGCAGCAAACACACAGGAAAGCTGCAGGTACACTGCACTGCACCCGCAGTGTGGAGCAGATCGCAGTGCATCAGTGTGAAAGCAGCCCTATACTGTTATGCCCAGTGTTTTGCACCACACTGACCTGAGGATCTCTGCTTTCCTGCTGCTGGCACCACTCTGAAGAACGCTAGCCAGGAGAAGAGGTGGAGTGCAGTTGGTATCACTCCACATGGGACAGGAGCCGGCACTGCAGAGGAGAAATCTGCTTATGTTGCTCTCGCTCCCTACTTCAGCTCCAACCTTACATGTAGTCCCTCTGCATTGCACTCTTTTTGATTCGGTGGGATGGCGGGGTCAGCAAGCCCAGACTGCGATCTACCAGTCCCCTGGCCACGAGATGAAGGAATCTTTGAAGACTCATTCATTGAAAAAGCAAGGACAAGGCTTGGATCAATTTATAAACAAGATTGCAGGACACCCGCTTGCCCAGAACGAGCGTTGCCTCCATATGTTCTTACAGGACAAAGCGATCAATAGAATCTACCGGTAGATTGCATTCGATGGATTGCTGACAGCCAAATTATATTATCCATAGGATATAATCTACCACACGGGTGTCAAACTGGCAGCCCTCCACCTGTTACCAAACTACAATTCCCATGAAGCATTGCAAGATTGACAGTTACAAGCACGACTCCCAAAGGCAGAGGCATGATGGGACTTGTAGTTTTGCAACAGCTGGAGGGCCGCCAGTTTGACACTCGTGATCTACCACATAGAAATTTTATGACTTCACAGTCTGCCTTTTTTATTACCCTCATCGGTCAGAATTACAAGCTATTGTTAGCAATTTGCATAAGGAATTCGTCTTGTTATCTTCTCTGTTCGTTGCATGGGGGGAAGTTCTGAGCAGAAACACAAAGCGTTTCATGGGTTACTAACCCTTCTTCAGGTTCTGTGAAAATGGTAAAGTATAGGTAAACCCTTGCTTTGTAAAACAACCCATTCAGTTTAAAATGGAAATGAAAGGTACATTTGTTTATACATCTGAAAAACATGATAACATACCCTCCTATTTTCAGCTGTATAAAGAGGTGAAGGGGGAGCAGTCTGATCATTTGAGGAGGAGCAGTCTGATCATTTGAGGAGGAGCAGTCTGATCATTTTGAGGAGGAGCAGTCTGATCATTTGAGGAGGAGCAGTCTGATCATTTGAGGAGGAGCAGTCTGATCATTTGAGGAGGAGCAGTCTGATCATTTGAGGAGGAGCAGTCTGATCATTTGAGGAGGAGCAGTCTGATCATTTGAGGAGGAGCAGTCTGATCATTTGAGGAGGAGCAGTCTGATCATTTGAGGAGGAGCAGTCTGATCATTTGAGGAGGAGCAGTCTGATCATTTGAGGAGGAGCAGGCTGAGTTCTCCGCACAACTAGAGAACTTCCTGCTCTGTGCTCTCAAGCCTAGCGTGGTCCGTTTTTAATAGGAAAGCAGAGGGACTGGCAGGAACACCAGGGATTTCACACAAAGGAAGCAATACAAAGAGAACAGGAGACTTTTTCATACAAGTACATGGTACAGCAGGGACATATCAGGAATAGGAAATGTTGGGTTTACTTGTTCTTAAACTCTGTTGCCAGTGGGTTGAATGATTTTCCAAGTAGGGGGAACCTTCACCTCACCAGTACTCCCCCAGATTGCTAAAATGGGGAAAATAGGGGAACAAAAGTGTGTCTATGTATGAGTGTAACCTTGTGCGCATAACAATTGTAATATCCACACATCCCCATGTAGGTAGGAAAACCAAACCTTATTGGATCTACACGGCTCAAAAAAATTAAAAGAACACTTTGAAAACCCATCAGATCTCAATGGGGAGAAATCTCCTGCTGGATCTCTATACTGACATGGACGGGGTAATGTGTTAGGAACGTAAGGATGCCCCATTGTTTGATGGAAATGAAAATGATCGACCTACAAAGGACTGAATTCAAAGACACCCAGAAAATCAAAGTGAAAATATGATGCAGCAGGCGAGTCCATTTTGCTGAAATGTCATTGCAGTCACTCAGAATGGTCCTCAGTAGTTTGTATGGCCCCCATGTGCTTGTATGCATGCCTGACAACGTCGGGGGAGGCTCCTAATGAGACCACGGATGGTGTCCTGGGGGATTTCTTCCCAGATCTGGACCAGGGCATCACTGAGCTTCTTGACAGTCTGAGGTGCAACCTGGCATCGTCAGATGGACCGAAACATGATATCCCAGAGGTGTTCTATTGGATTTAGGTCAGGCGAGCGTATGAGCCATTCAATGGTATCAATTCCTTCATCCTCCAGGAACTGCCTGCATACTCTCCCCACATGAGGCCGGGCATTTTTGTGCACCAGGAGCCCTGCCAGAGCCCTACAAAATGACCTCCAGCAGGCCACTGGTGTGAATGTCTCTGACCAATCAGAAACAAAAACCAGCATATCCCCACTGACAAGGCAGAGCTCTGTATTTTTAAAATACACGGCTTCTCCAGACCTTTTCATGTCTGTCACATGTGCTCAGGGTGAACCTGCTCTCATCTGTGAAAAGCACAGGGTGCCAGTGGGGGACCTGCCAATTCTGGTGTCCAGTGACAAATGCCAATCGAGCTCTATGGTGCTGGGCAGTTTTTGTTTCCCTGCAAAGCAGGGAATAAAAACGGTCTCATCCCTTAGTAAAAGCATCACAATGTACACACACAAAGCACTGTTAGGTACACACTTAACCCTTTGATCTCCCCTAGATTTTAACCCCTTCCCAACCAGTGTCAGTGTATATTATTAGTACTGATCACTGTATTAGTGTCCCTGGTTCCCAAAAGGTGTCAGTGTCAGATTTACCGTCATACTATTACAATCTCTGCTGTAAATCACTGATCGCCCCCATTACTAGTATATACTGGAATTTTTATTTATTTATATACCTCATAGTTTGTAGACTTTCTTGCAAAGATACCAAAAATACGTAATAGAATACAATTTGGCCTAAATGTATAAAGAAATTAGATTTTCTACATTTTTTTTTTTTATTAGATATGTTTTATAGCAGAAAGTAAACAATATAGGTTTATATTATGTTTTGGGGTTATTTCCCCACAATTGGTGGTCTTTTTTTAGTTTATAGTACAAAAAATAAATACCCCCAGTGGTGATTAAATACCACCAAAAGAAATCTCTATTTGTGTGAAAAAAATGATATCATTTTCAAGTGAGAGTACAGCATTGTATGACCGCGCAAATGTCAGTTAAACGTAACGCAGTGCGGTATAGCAAAAATGGTCTGTCAGGAAGGAGGTAAAATCGGGGCAAGTGGTTAAAGAAACTTCAGAATTGGACACATCCAAGTGGGTTGAATGTCTGCCCCCTCCCCCCCTCCGCTGCACATAGTGGTCTCCCTCCAGCTTCTTCTTTTACTGCAGGCTACAATAGTGACATAGGTGCAGGTGGGAGGAACCATAGCCAGCACAGGGGGAGCAAGCTTAGATAGGCAATGGCATGAACGCTCAATTCATCCTAGAAGATATGCTGTGCCAGAGTACAGACAACTAGAATTTAAGCTGTTTTTTTATTTATTTATTTATTTTTTTTTATGTTTCAGGGACTTTGTCTATGTATCTCAGGACCCCAAAGATCAGCTTCTTCTTGGGTATGTATGCACATCCTCTCTTGTATTATTATTATTATACAGGATTTATATAGCGCCAACTGTTTGCTCAGCGCTTTACAATGGAACGGGAGACAATACATCAACAATACAGTTCAATACAAGAGGGTTAGGAGGGCCTGATTCTGGGAGCTTACAATCTAGGAGACTGTATTTACTATATTATATACAGGACCCTACTGTAAAAACTGATTAGAACATATAGGATCATTTGGGTTCCAGGTCTATAACTTGTACATCCCTGGCTGTGAAAAAGAAGTAAAGTAGACCGTGTAAAATTACCTAAACTGCCCCTAGGAATAAAATGCAGGTACCCTTGCATGTTTGCTTGTGCCTTTGTAAAGCTGCGCGAGACCCTCAAATTTTAGGATACTCTAATACGCACCTCCCCTGGAAAGGGCCGTAACTGTTACTGCTACCCATTACCCTTGGATAGCACAGTGGCTAAATGGTTAGCACTTCCACCTGGCAGTGCTAAGGTCGTTGGTTCGAATCCCAACCAATGCACCACCTGCCTGGAGTTTACATGTTCTCCCTGTGCCTGCATGGGTTTCCTCTGGGTACTCCAGTTTCCTTTCACACACAAAAGACATGCTGGTAGGTTAATTGGATCCTGTCTAAATTGTCCCTAGTATATGTATGTATGAATGTAAGTTAGGGACCTTAGATTGTACGCCCCTTGAGGGTTAGGGACTGATGTGAATGTACAATATATATGTAAAACACTCTGTAAATTGACAGCGCTATATAAGTACCTGAAATAAATAAATAAATAAATACTACCCCCATGCTGCACTCATGGCCACTGACTGAAACTTTCCATAAGCAGCACCACCTGCAGCTCTGCATCTAGAGACCGCAATGGCATCGGCTGATTTTCACAGTTCCTCCTCATTTCGGTTATCGGTCATGCTGGAAAATTCATGAAAAATGGTCGATTTTCGCAATCATTGGTGGCAACATCAGTTTACAGATCGAACAATGTTTTGTTTTTCAGACGAAAAAAAAAAATCGGCTGATAAACAAACCATCTGTAGCCTGCATAAGGCTGGCCATACACTATACAATTTTCTGTTCAATTTCTGACCAATTTCCTTTAGATTTACCTTCTACTATGTAGTGCAAGGGCCTGCCTAATTGGATACATTTGAAAGTGTTGTTTAGTTTTGACCTCCTATTAATATATGGTTTTTGGTAAATCTAAAGCAATTTTCTAAAGAAAATTGTATAATGTATGGCCAGCCTTATGCAGGCCATAGATGGTTCGTTTATCGGCTGATTTTTCGTCTGAAAAACAAAATGTAAGTTTGTTCTGTAAACCGATGTTGCCACCAATGATTGCGAAAATCGGCCGTTTTTCACGAATTCTCCAGCATGACCGATAAACGAAATGAGGAGGAACCGCGAAAATCAGCCGATGCCATTGCCCTACTAACAGTGCGAAAATCAGCCGATTTATTCTTTTGGATGAAAAATCGGTCAATAAATGAACCGTCTATGGCCTGCATTAGTTTTGAAGCTTTGTAATTTCTAACATGCGTATATTCATTTCAGGCCAACCTACGCCCACACCCAAAGTGCTTGAGAAAGCCGGTCTGACGTTAGCAGACATCGATGCCTTCGAGTTCCACGAGGCCTTTGCTGTAAGACATCAATACACTCTGTTTGCACGTGTGATTGTTTTCTGTGATGCTTTTCAGTGTTTTGCTTCTCTGGTGCAGAGACTGATGTGAGTAGTCCAGTGTTCTCTGTACAGTACTGTGGAATACACTCACCGACCACTTTATTAGGTCCACCTGTTCAATTGCTTGGTAACACAAATTACTAATCAGCCAATCACATGGCAGCAACTCACCGCGTTTAGGCATCTAGACATGATGAAGAAGACTTGAAGTTCAGAATGGGGAAGAAAGGGGATTTCGGTGACTTTGAACGTGGCATGGTTGTTGGTGCCAGTTGGGCTCATCTAAGTATTTCAAAAACTACTGATTTACTGGGATTTTCACGCACAACCATCTCTAGGGTTTACAGAGAATGGTCCAAAAAAGAGAAAATATCCAGCAAGCGGCAGTTGTGTGGAGGAAAATGCCTTGTTGAGGTCAGAGAAGAATGGGCATTCGATTTCAGTCACGACATTCAGATGGTAGGGTCAGAATTTGGGGTAAACAACATGAAAGCATGGACCCATCCTGCCTTGTATCAATGGTTCAGGCTGGTGGTGTCATGGTGTGGTGGATCCATTCTGCCTTGTATCAACGGTTCAGGCTGGTGGTGTCATGGTGTGGTGGATCCATCCTGCCTTGTATCAATGGTTCAGGCTGGTAGTGGTGTCATGGTGTGGTGGATCCATCCTGCCTTGTATCAACGGTTCAGGCTGGTGGTGTCATGATACAAGGTAGGATGGATCCACCACACCACTACCAGCCTGAACCGTTGATACAAGGCAGGATGGATCCACCACACCAACGGGTCAGGCTGGTGGTGTCATGGTGTGGTGGATCCATCCTGCCTTGTATCAACGGTTCAGGCTGGTGGTGTCATGGTGTGGGGTACTTTTCTTGGCACTAGCAAGGTGAACCTAATAAAGTGGCCGGTGAGTGTATGTCAGAGCTATATAAATATATTATAATGGTGTCTGGTGTCTGACTGTGATGGGATATGAGAATGTAAGCTCATGTAGTGCAGATCGACTTCAATGGTTTATTGTTTTCCAGAGGGTGCATAAAAGATAATGAAGGTTCCTGGAATGCTGAAGGTAGTAGCTGCCTTCCTATAGAGTTTTGCCAATTCTAGATAACCGAACAGAAGAGAAAAGGAGGCGCAGACTAAGTGTAGCAGATTAGTAAGTGATTTAATGACACAGGATAAAAAACACTGACAAGAGTAAACATAAAACAGGGCTCATCTGTGAATCCATGGGCTGCTCCTTTCCGCCCCACAGGAAGAATGCCAGCCGCTCTTGGTCGTGCGACAAAATACACAGAAGCGCATGAAAAGTAGCGATTTGAGTGTTTCCATGTATTTCTATGGGAATAAAAATGCAACATTTGGCTGAATGAGTGGAGATGTGAACCATCTCCATAGAAAAATATTGATTTTTTTTTTTTTTTTTTTTTTTTTTTCCTCCCTGAGCATTTTCGAGCTTCGTGCTACAAAACTCTCAGGTGTGATTGGGGCTTTACAGTTATCTGCCTGATTGGGTGGCTGTCATCCTTACTGGCCCTGTTATTAGTAGGCATTGCAGCTGGAAATTGGCAGTGTACAGAGGTGCTGACTTGTTTTAGTCCTACAGGGCAAAAAAAAAAAACACCGATTTGATCCCCCCTTCCCCAAACGGCATATAATTAACCACTTTTACCACACCCCCCCCACTTCTGCTCAGGCCAGTTTCAGTTTTTCAGCGCTGTTGCACTTAATTTTTGCACGGTCATGCAACACTGTACCCAAAATAATTTATCATTTTTTTGAGACAGATTGAGCTTTCTTTTGTTGGTATTTAATCACCTCTGGGTTGTTCATTTTTTGCAAAACAAATGAAAAAAGGTCAAAATCTTTGAAACAAAACAAAAAAAAAAACTTTCTTTGTGTCTGTTCTAAACTTTTGCAAATAGGGAATTGTTCTTCTTCATTGATGTGCACTGATGGGCACTGATGGGCACTGTTGTGCTGCACTGATTACTTCACTGGCCTTGAGAACTTCACTGTCCTTATTGCTAATGATGCTCAAAAACTGAATAAAAGAAAAAAGAAAAAAGGTTTATACTTACCTGCTCTGAGCACTGGTATTGCACAGAGCATCCGCTTATCACCTCTTCTGGGGTCCCCCGCTGGAGATGTCTGCTGCTCCTCCTCTTCTCTGTGTACCCTCTCATAGCAAGCTGCTTGCTGTGGAGGCACACGTGCAGGCTCACGCCCTATAGGGGCTGCGTGCGTCTATAGACGCACACACCACAGCTCAGCCCTGCCCCCTACTCCCTGCTCAGTGGATTTGATTGACTGCAGCGGGAACCATCAGCTCCTGCTGCTATCAATCTGTTCTGTGGGACCAGAAACAGAGGTCAGCGCTGCTGGAGAAAGGTGTTTTCTCAGGGAATGCATGAAGATTAAAAAAGCCTTGTGACTTAAAGAACCACTTTAAAGTCATTCTAAAATCCAGAACATTTTTTACCTTAATGCATTCCCTGCATTAAGGTAAAATAAAAAAAACTTTTATAGCTTCCCTGTGTGCTGGATCTCTCTCTCTCTCTCTCCCCCTTCACTGTGCATGGCTGCATCTCTTCTCTGTTTTCCTCTTAACACAGGGACTTGAGCAGCAGCAGGAACCACTGGCTCCTGCTGCTGTCAGTCGAATGTATTGAGGAGGAAATGGGGGCTGGGTTAAGCCCTGCTATGTGTGTCTATGGAGCGTGGCTAAATAAATGCACACAGCTTGGGAGCGAGCACGCACTGTGTGCCCTCATAGCAAGTGACTTGCTATGGGGGCACAGGAAAAAGAGAGGGACCCCAGACAAGGAAGTTCGAGGTCACTCTATGCAATACCATTGCACAGAGCAGGTAAGTATAATGTTTATTATTGTAGTAAAAAAAAAAGTACCTTTTTAGTAAGTGAGAGACCCCCTCCTCCCCAAAAAAAAGAAAAACCAGACTTTAAAGGCAGAGTTGCCTTTAAAGCCCTGTTTTTTGAGGGGGGGGGGGGGGTCTCTCACTTACAGTAGTGCTTTGGGATATAAACCACAACGTGGAGGCTTCGGATGGTGATATACAGTATCTCACAGAAGTGAGTCCCCCCCCTCACATTTTTGTAGATCTTTGATTCTCTCTTTTCATGTGACAACACTGAAGAAATGACACTTTGCTACAATGTGACGTAGTCAGTGTACAGCTTGTATAACATGTAAATTTGCTGTCTTCTCAAAATAACTCAACACACCGTCATTAATGTCTAAACCGATGGCAACAGAAGTGAGTCCACCCCTAAGTGACAAGGTCCAAATTGGGCCCAAAGTGTCAATATTCTATGTGGCCGCCATTATTTTCCTGCACTGCCTTAACCCTCTTGGAGTTCACCAGAGCTTCACAGGTTGCCACTGGAGTCCTCTTCCACTCCTCCATGTCGACATCACGGAGCTGGTGGATGTTAGAGACCTTGCGCTCCTTCACCTTCCATTTGAGAATGCCCCACAGATGCTCAATAGGGTTTAGGTCTGGAGACCTGCTTGACCAGTCCATCACCTTTACCCTCAGATTCTTTAGCAAGGCAGTGGTGGTCTTAGAGGTGTGTTTGGGGTCGTTATCATGTTGAAATACTGCCCTGTGGCCCAGTCTCCGAAGGGAGGGGATCATGCTTTGCTTCAGTATGTCACAGTACATGTTGACATTCATGGTTCCCTCAATGAACTGTAGCTCCCCAGTGCCGGCAGCACTCATGCAGCCCCAGACCATGACACTCCCACCACCATGCTTGACTGTAGGCAAGACACACTTCAAGATGGTGGTACCCAATACCAATCTCTGGGCTTTTGGATGTGTCCACAAGGGAGGCTTTTATAGGTAAATTCCATATAAAAAATAAAATCTGTTCAAGCTGAACTCAACCCAAAAGGGGACGTTCCGCTTGCTTGCGCCCATTCCTCCACTGCCACACTTGGCTCTCTTTTTGAGGGGAGTAGTTACCTGGTTTTGACAGCTACCCACTCCCACTTCTGGCTCAGATCCCAGTAGCAATTTGATCCAAAAGTTTGCCCCCCAACCCCCGTAGACTTCTGGGACACATCACATATTCCAGAAGACTGCGGCTCATGCATCATGCATAAAGCACAGTGCAGTAGGAAATCGGCTGTGAAGCCGCAAGGCTCCACTTCAGGCTTCCCTTACTGAAGATGCCGGTGACAGCACCCAAAGCTAATTGAAGAATTGGCTCGGGTGAGGACAGTGCTGGACCCCTGGATAGGCAAGTGTCCTTATTTTAAGTCAACAGCTAAAGTATTTGTAGCTGATGACTTTTAATTTTTTCTGGGGAGGCCAGAGCTCCACTTTTAATGCACATTTAATCTTACTGGATGATTTTTGTTGAAGTGAATGGTCTGGTTCACACAAGGTGCGCTACAGTGTGAGGCGCACCGACAGGAAGCCCCACGACATCGGTGTGCAGATATGTGTCCCCAAGCTCACACTCTGTGTTCAGAGCCATACGCGTTAGTTTGCCTTGTGGGAACAAGGCCTAAGTCTGCAACTTCCTTGGCTGTTGAAAGATTCTGCCTTTCTTTTAAGGAGTCATCCACAAGAACGATTTTTTTTCAGCTGCTCTCTTTTTGTTTTGAAAGATCATTTTTTCATCTAGAACGTCTACGTTCTTTGAGTATTTACAGAATATTCAAAATTAAGCCATCTATGATTAGCCGCAGATCATGAAGCACAGTGGATGCACCCCTACATAGGTTTGTTGACTCATTCCACAGTTGGTACACAGATGTCATGCTCAGGCCTTGATTTACATTGTCACTCTATGTACTCAGGGTAATCGAAAGCAAAGGTGGTGGCTTCTACTGGGAGCTCTGCTCGCTGCCTTCACACTGAATGCAGTATTGGGGTGTCTAATATCAAAGACAGAATTCTGTTCATCATCATGGATACAGTGTAGAAGGATTTGATCCTCTGTCAGGTTTCTATTGCTGTCTTTGTCCACCTTAAAGCGATACTAAAAGTTCTTTTTTTGAGGGGGAAAATAACAAACCTGTTATACATGCCTACTGTGTTGCAGTGGTTTTGCACAGAGCAGCCCAGATCCTCCTTTTCTCAGGTCCCTTTCCAGTCCTCCTGGCTCCTCCTTTCTGTTGGGTGACCCCATAGCAAGCAACTTGCTAGGGGGGCACCCAAGCAGGTGTGTTCCCAAGTTGCTGCTCCCTGTGTCCATTCACACACGGAGTCGCAACTTGGCCCCGGCCCCTCCCTCTCTCCTCATTGGCTGACTGGCTGTGATTGTCAGCAGCGGGAGCCAATGGCTCCCTGCTTGCTGTCTCCGCCAATGAGCAGACAGAGACGCAAGACAGCTGAGGTTGTAATGCACAGCATTGGATCTCGATGAGGCTCGGGTAAATATTGAGGGGGCTGGTGGCACTGCTACACACAGAAGGTTTTTTACTTCATACATAGAATGCATGAAGGTTAAAATTACTAGTGGTGCACCGAAATGAAAATTCTGGTGCCGAAACCAAAAAGGAAAATTCAAAATGCACCGAAATGCGCAGTTTTTAAAAATGAATTTATATTTTTTGGAAAAAAAATACACTTTGATTAAAAAAAAAAAAAAACTATATATACCCAATTTTTTTGTAAAATATGAAAGAGGATGTTATTGCGAGTAAATAGATACCCAACATGCCACGTGGCGGGGGCAGGGTTTTTTCAGCACCTGTATCAGTCCTTTTTTTCATTTCGTACGACGACGAAAGGGGTGTTTTCGGTCGAAACTAAAAATTTCGGTGCGTTCCTAAAGAGAAAAAAAAAAAGCCTTGAGCCTTTACAACCGCTTTAATTGTTGTGATGACCATTGTCAGGTAATTCCAAAACAATTGTCACTGGAGATGAGAATAAACTTACAGTAGTGACAACTGTCCATGAGGGGACTTCCCCTAACTTTGACATTTCTCCCCTCACTTCCTGTTGTGTCACAAGGACATAAAATTCTGGAAAATCCGCTTGACAGGAGAAGGCACGAAAAAAAACTTAACTTGGATTGTAACGATTTTTACTAGGATTGTAATCTTTTGGCATTTGAAACGTCGGTAAAATCTACTCCTGAACGCAAGTTTGGTGCGTTCACAAAAACAACTGTAAACTCAACTGCCTGTACTATGAAGATTGTACATGGACACATAGCAGCACAGTGGCTAAATGATTAGCACTTCTGCCTTACTAGGGTCGCTGGTTCGAATCCCAAACCACCTGCCTGGAGTTTGCATGTTCTCCCTGTGATGCGTGGGTTTCCTACGGGTTCCGGCCTTCACATTCCAAAACATGCTGGTAGGTTAATTATCCTGTCTAAATTGGCCCTAGTATGTGTATGTATGAATGTGAGTTAAACTGAAATGTACAATAATATGTAAAGCGCTGCGTAAATTGACAGCGCTATATAAGTACCTGTAATAAATAAGTAGGAAAACATAAGGGAGAGTTCAGGGGCTGCAGAAAAAAAACGCAGAAAAACTCCTGAACGTCAGTTTATCAGCTGCAGTGTACATGAGCCCTAAGCCAGTGTTTCTTGTTCATTAGTCAGAGGAGCACAGGTGATTTGATCAACTGGTAATTACCAAGCGAGGCTAGGGAAATCCTGAAAACATGACCTGTTGGGGGTCCATGGGACTGAGTTGAGAAACCGCCTTGCCGGAGCCACTACAATGGGCAAGAATCCTAGGTTCACATCTATGCAGCTGCAGATCCGCACCACCCGCACAGAGGAATGCGAAACCGCGGGCGGGTGCCATTAATTCTAATGACACCGCCCGCACTGGAAAACGAAACCATACTGGGAACCGTGGTTCCCGTGCAGGCTGCGTTTTCAGCCCTACGGGGCACGGGAGTCCATTCAAATGAATGGGCTCACGTGCCCGGCAAAATGCTGCCCGCACAGCCGCATATATGTGAACCAGGGCTGAAGGGAAGGCTGGAGGATCAACTTTCAGTAGCAGGAGGGGCAGTCACAACCTAAGAGAGCTGCTATTGTTCAAAAGGGGCCAACAATAGAAAAAAAAAAAAAAAAACATTACCATGAACTGAGATGATCACCCCAGGGTTGCTTCTGAACTAATCCCAGTGTGTTTTCAAATGCGGCTTTGCTGTGATTGGTTGGTTCTGGATTCGTAAAGTCCTCTTTCTCCTGCCGGCTCATAGGTTAGCACAGGATGTACAAACCAGTAGGAGGAGCAAGTCTTCCACACATGTGAAATGGAAAAGTATGTCCTGCATCGGCAGACCTCAAGGTCCTTGTTAATATGTGGGTTTTTTTCCGTTGTACAGGGGCAGATCCTGGCCAATATGAAAGCAATGGAGTCTGAGTGGTTTGCCCAGAATTGCATGGGAAGGAAAACGAAGGTGACTTACCTAGTGATTTTGTTTTTTTTTTTTTTTCTTCCCATATAAATGTAGCCCTCTCCTCTGGAATTATCCATGCTGCTCATAACCAGATTTTGAAAGTGATACTAAGGAATAAATTATTATTTTAAAAAAAAAAAGTGCTCTGTGCAATGGTTTTGCACAGAGCAGCCCCGATCCTCCTCTTCTCAGATCTCCCGCAGGTGCTCCTGGCTCCTCTCCACTGCTGATTGCCCGCACATTGCTATGGGGGCACTTGTATGTGTGCTCGCTCCCAAGCCCTGCTATGTGTCACCATTAGATACACAGAGAGTGGCTCGGTCCGCCCTGCTCCCTCCTCACACTGGCTGTGGTTGATAACGGCTCTCACTGCTTTGTCTGAACCAATGGAGAGACTGAGATCAGGCCTCAGTAAGTAGTGGGGGTGGGGGGGAGCTGAGGGTTGAGCTGCACACTGAAGCTTTTTATCTTCATGCATAGAGTGCATTCAGTTAATAAAAAACTTTCAGCCTTTAACCCCTCGCCCTCCAAAGGATTTCCCTCCCATCCTGACCAGGCCGTTTTTTGCGTTACGGCGCTGCGTTACTTTAACTGACAATTGCGCTGTCATGCAATGCCGCACCCAGATGACATTTATGTCCTTTTTTTCCCACGAACTGAGGTTTCTTTCGGTGGTATTTGATTGCCCGTGCAGTTTTTTTTTTTTTTTTTTTTTTTTTTTTTTTTTTTTTTGTGCTCGAAGCAAAAAAAAAGACCAACAATTATGAGAAAAAAACAATATTTTGGACTTTTTGCTATTAAACACGTCCAGTAAAAAAAAATAAAAAAATCAAATTTCATCATAAGTTTAGGCCAAAATGTATTTTGCTCCATGTCTTTGCTAAAAAAAAAAAAATCCCAATACGTGTAAATGAACTGGTTTACGTGAAAGTTATAGCGTTTACACATGGCGGTATAGATACTGGGATTTATTTGTTATTTTTTTTCTATACTAGCCATGGCGGTGATCAGCGACTTTTAGCCGGGCTGCGGCGGGCATTCTGACACTGGGAGGAACTAACTTGGTGTCACTGACATCCCCAGTGACACCAATACAGTGATCAGTGCTAAAAAACAGCACTGACACTGTACTAATGGCACTGGGCAAGAAAACGTTAATGTGAGGGGGCGATCAAAGGGTTAACTGTGTGTAGGGAGTATTTTACTTGGGGGCGGGGGGTGGGTGCTTCACTGTAAGCACACTAAGCGGGATGGCTGTGCTGTGGATGTACAAAGTAGTTGTGATATGTACGGATTTACTAACGTTGCAAAATTGTGGTTAGGCATTTAGATTTGTTTTACCTGTAGGCATGAAGGGGTTAATAAACACACACTTACCTGTCCCAGGGTCCAGCGATGTTCTCACCCACTCCGTCCCCTTCTCCCCTCCTCTCCTCCAAGGCGCCGGCATCTCAACTTTGTGCACCAGGCTGTGACAGCTTGCGGTTTCACAGCCTGGTGCCCACTGCGCATGCGCGAGTCGCGCCTTCTAATTGGTCCGGAAGTCTGTGGGAGGGAGGAGGGGCTGAACCTCCGGCTCACTTCGCCACAGTGAACTGAGCCGGAAATGGGAGCAGATACCTGTCAAAACCAGGTACCCACTCCCCCCCTAAAAGGTGGCAAGTATGCCAGTGGAGGGGCGGAGGAGGCAATTAAGTGGAGCTTCCGCTTTTGAGCGGAACTCTTCTTTAAAGATTTTTTGGTGGATCGTACACGATGTCAGTGCACTCTGTTAACTTTACAGTTTTTTCTGAGGATTCCAAGGTCTGGAGAGAGCTGCGAGGAAATGGATGTTTTTTTTTTCAACTACATTATGTAGAAAAGTGGAAATAGACAAAGGGGGAGATTTACTAAAACTGGTGCACACAGAATTTGGTGCAGTTGGGTACAGTGACCAATCGGCTTCTCACTTCAGCTTGTTCAATTAAACGTTGACAATAAAACCTGGAAGCTGATTGGCTACCATGCACAACTGAACCTGATCCTGTGTGCACCAGTTCTAGTAAATCTCCCCCATAGACTTGTAGATTCCATCGTTGTTGAGCGCTGACCGTTTATTTTTTTGGTTGTTAGGGCAATTCAATAGGTTCACTTTAAACTGTATGTCCAGGCTTTACCCAAATTCACCCCTAAACCCCCTCTCCTCCTCTAGATCCTGTCCCTGCATTATTATCTTTTTTTTTTTTTTTCTTGTTCCTGGTTTTTTGTTTTTTTTTTTTTTTTGTTCCTACAGTGAGAAATGACTTTTATTTACCCCCCTATGACAAATTCTTGCAGGTCGGCGCTCCTCCCCTGGAGAAGTTTAACACCTGGGGTGGATCACTGTCTCTCGGTCACCCTTTTGCTGCTACAGGTTGTCGCCTGGTGATGGCAGCTGCTCACCGGCTGAAGAAGGATGGAGGACAGTATGGCCTGGTGGCAGCGTGTGCTGCTGGAGGACAGGTGAGCTTGTCACACGGTCTACTCAGTGCCTTTGTTTGGATTTTATGTTCATGTGATCTAGTCAGTTTTCAATGGATGTTATTTTCTTTTAAGAGCAGTCGCGATTGTTTATTTTATATTTTTTATTTTATATTTTTATATTAGATTATATTTTTTATTTTATATTTTTTTAGATTATTTTTTTTTATTTTATATTTTTATTTTATATTTTTTATTTTATATTTTTTATATTTTTTTTTTTATATTTTTATATTTTTTATTTTATATTTTTTATTTTATATTTTTTTATTTTATATTTTTATATTGTTTATTTTATATTGTTTATTTTATATGTGGGGCAGCACAGTGGCTAAATGGTTAGCACTTCCGCCTAGCAGTAGTAGGGTTGTTGGTTAGAATCCCAGCCACGGCACCTCCTGCCTGGAGTTTGCATGTTTTACCTGTGCCTGCGTGGGTTTCCTATGGGTACTCCGGTTTCCTTTCCTCCCACACTCCAAAGACATGCTGGTAGGTTAATTGGCTCCTGTCTAAATTGTCCGTAGTGTGTGTATGTATGAATGTGAGTTAGGGACCTTAGATTGTACACCCCTTGAGGGTTAGGGACTGATGTGAATGTACAATATATATGTAAAGTGCTGCGTAAATTGATGGCGCTATATAAGTACCTGAAATAAATAAATATTTATATAGTAGAACTATAGGCAAAACTTTTTCCCCCCATTTTGAATAGAGTTATGCAGGCCATACATGGGTAAGATTCCGAACGATTTTTCACCTGAATATCGAAAACGTTCGCTCGATAATCCGATGGTGCCATCATGATTTCTAAAATCGGCTGACCAAGTCATAAAGTTCACCCCATATAACAGGTGAAACGTCTGTTCCTTCCAGGTCACGGCTGCGAAAAAACGATTGTACGATTTGACCATCATTGAGTCGAAAATCGGTTGTTTTTTCACGAATTTTCCAACGTACCCGATTACCTAAAAGGGGAGGAACCACGAAAATTGGCCGGTTGCATGGTCAGTGGCACCAGCCTATTTTCGTGGTTCCTCCCCTTTTTCGGTGACCACTAACAGAGCAAAAATCGGCCAATTATTCTTAGGTCCGATTTTCAGACAAAAAAATCGGTTGAATTTTGAACCATGTATGGGCGGCATAAGGAAGCGTTATAACCCGTCAGGTTTTTTGTTTTTTTTTTGTTTTTTTTTTTCACCATCTGTGTCCCATTGCGAAGGTTTCCCTTCCTTTCCTGTCCCTTAGCCAGACAGGAAGTGAGAGCAAATACTTGAAAATTAACCAGTGCTCTGCTGGACACTGTTAGAAGTCACAAGACTGATATATACTGCTGATGAGAAAAGGGATTTAGCGGTTTATATTTATTAAAATAATTGCATTTCCATGTTCTGTGTACTGTGGGAGACCAGATATAGTGAATAGTCTCCCCGGACCCCGCATTCACTATATCCAGTCTCCCCGGACCCTGCATTCACTATATCTGGTCTCCCCTGACCCTGCATTCACTATATCTGGTCTCCCCGGACCCTGCATTCACTATATCTGGTCTCCCCAGACCCTGCATTCACTATATCTGGTCTCCCCGGACCCTGCATTCACTATATCCGCTCTCCCCGGACCCTGCATTCACTATATCTGGTCTCCCCGGACCCTGCATTCACTATATCTGGTCTCCCCTGACCCTGCATTCACTATATCTGGTCTCCCCAGACCCTGCATTCACTATATCTGGTCTCCCCAGACCCTGCATTCACTATATCTGGTCTCCCCAGACCCTGCATTCACTATATCTGGTCTCCCCAGACCCTGCATTCACTATATCCGCTTTCCCCAGACCCTGCATTCACTATATCTGGTCTCCCCAGACCCTGCATTCACTATATCTGGTCTCCCCAGACCCTGCATTCACTATATCTGGTCTCCCCAGACCCTGCATTCACTATATCTGGTCTCCCCGGACCCTGCATTCACTATATCTGGTCTCCCCGGACCCCGCATTCACTATATCCGGTCTCCCCGGACCCCGCATTCACTATATCCGGTCTCCCCGGACCCTGCATTCACTATATCCGGTCTCCCCGGACCCTGCATTCACTATATCCGGTCTCCCGGACCCTGCATTCACTATATCCGGTCTCCCCGGACCCCGCATTCGCTATATCCGCTCTCCCCGGACCCCGCATTCGCTATATCCGCTCTCTCCCCGGACCCCGCATTCGCTATATCCGCTCTCCCCGGACCCCGCATTCGCTATATCCGCTCTCCCCGGACCCCGCATTCGCTATATCCGCTCTCCCCGGACCCGCATTCGCTATATCCGCTCTCCCCGGACCCCGCATTCGCTATATCCGCTCTCCCCGGACCCCGCATTCGCTATATCCGCTCTCCCCGGACCCCGCATTCGCTATATCCGCTCTCCCCGGACCCCGCATTCGCTATATCCGCTCTCCCCGGACCCCGCATTCGCTATATCCGCTCTCCCCCGGACCCCGCATTCGCTATATCCGCTCTCCCCGGACCCCGCATTCGCTATATCCGCTCTCCCCGGACCCCGCATTCGCTATATCCGCTCTCCCCGGACCCCGCATTCGCTATATCCGCTCTCCCCGGACCCCGCATTCGCTATATCCGCTCTCCCCGGACCCCGCATTCGCTATATCCGCTCTCCCCGGACCCCGCATTCGCTATATCCGCTCTCCCTGGTCCCTGTACTCTGGTCTCCCCGGACCCAGCATTCACTGTATCCGCTCTCCTTTTCTCATCAGCAGTATATAGCGGTCATGTGACTTCTGTCAGTGTTCAGCAGAGCACTGGTTCAAGCTTTAGGAGGAGTTTTCATTCTGCTCTAGGAGGATGCAGAACTCTTGACCTCTGTCTGGACAGAGCTGATTGGCCCTGTGCTGATCAGACACCCACTCACCCGAAAGGAAAAAAAAAAAAAACTTCTCTAGAAATACACACCAAACTGAGCATGTGCAGAGTGTCTCCACACGATATGTCTTATCAGGAGATAAGAGAGGGACACTGGAAGAAGGGGAGGATCATAGAAGTCGGGATCAAGCCATTTTTTACGCAATACAGAGGATTAACCCCTTAGGTTCTATTGTGAGTATAACAAGCATGCTTTACTGCATTGACAGACTGATTTTTTTTTTTTTTTTTCCCCAACTTTACCGATTAAAAAAAAATGTGCCAAAACCCCAAAAAAAACGGCCGATCAATTAACCCACTAATGATGCGGAAATCGGCTGATTTTCGACCCTTCTATGGCCTGCATTAGTCAGTGTCATGGGGATTCCTGTAATTGAAATGTATTTAGAATCAATTGAATAGCAGAAGTTGTATGCAACACGTGTATTTTCGGTCGTTTTGTTATCTATTGCTAAGATGTCGGAATTCCTCCAGGTAAACGTGTTTTGTCTTGTTATTCCTGCTCTCCTGGATAAATATAACCTCATTTACCTTTTGTCTGTTCCTTCCCCTGTCTGATCGGCTCCCCAGACTTCATTGTCAGG